GGCGCGCGAGAGCAGCGCGTATAGCTCCAGCCATCAGTCGTCGTCCTCCTTCTTGCCGTTCCCGATCCGTTGCGGCCGCAGTTCTGGATCACGCCTGGGCGACGTCGGCCGAGGGGGCAGCGCGTCGGACAGCCGACGGTCCAGGGCGAGAGTGTCCACGGGGCCGAGAGGAGGGCTGGCTGCGGATTGCTCGCGCGGAGCGCTGTTCCCTCGCCCCGTCGCCTTCGCGCAAGGTGAACCCCTGGCACGCCGCCGCGGCGATGACTTTGCCGTGCGGGAATTCGAAGGCCGCTGTGAACTGCGCCGCTGGGGGCCATCGGTGGAGCTCCCTATGAAGCCACGAAGCGTGTGGGGGGCGTGCCAAAATGGGGCGACGCCGCGATGCGAGTCCCGCCATTGGGATCTTAGGTGGAGCTCCTTATGGGGCCAAGAAGCGTGTGAGGGGTGTGCCACAATGGGGCGAGGCCGCGACGCGAGTTCCGCCGCCAGTGGGACCTTCGGTGGAGCTCCCTATGGGGCCACGAAACGTGTGAGGGGCGTGCCACAATGGGGCGAGGCCGCGATGCGAGTTCCGCCAGTGGGACTTTAGGTGGAGCCTTATGGGGCCACGAAGCGTGTGAGGGGTGCGCCACAATGGGGCGAGGCAGCCACGCGAGTTCCGCCAGTGAGAGTTCAGGTGGGGCTCCCAATGGGACCACGAAACGTTTGAGGGGTGTGCCGAAACAGAGACATGCGGAGAGCAAAAGCAAGGACGAAGAGGAAAGAGGGAGGGCAGCGGGAGGAGACGCGTGGCGCTATCTCTTCAAAACGAGGACCCCACACCGCAGTATGGTTGGGGAAAAAACTGACGCGCGCGCTCTGGCGAAATTTTGAGCAAACCATCGGTGTTTCAATGCTTGCCGAATTTTAAGAGAACCATCGGTTGTTCAATCTTTGCAGAACATGCTACCAAACGGGCTTCACGCGCGCGCGTGCCAAAATCGTCCGGACGCTTTTGCGCGCGTGCCGTCGCGGGAGTCCTTTGCAACAAATGGGCCGGAGTGCGCGCGCGCGCGAGCGTCGTCGCGCGCGCGTGCCGAAATCCTCCAATCAACTCCGGTTTCGGAGCGATTCCAAAATCGAGCGCGCAGAAAACATACAAAACCACAGGGTTTCGCAACACGGGTTTTCAACACATGCGTGCGCGCGCGGTTTTGCGTCGTCGTCGTCGTCGTCGCCGTCCTCCTTCTCCCTCGTCGTCGTCGTCGCCGTCGCCGTCCTCTGTCTTTCCTCGTCGTCGTCGTCGTCCTCTTTGGCGTTGTCGTCGTTTCCGTCGTCGTTGTCGCCGTGGTCGTCCTTCCTCCTTCGTCGTCGTCGTCGTCCGTCGTCGGCGTTTCGTCGTCGTCCCTCCTATTTCGTCGTCGCCGTCGTCGTCTTCCCTCCTCCCTCGTCGTTTTCGTCGTCGGCGTCGCCGTCCTCCCTCCGTCTTCGTGATTCGCGTCGTCGCCGTCCTCCCTCCTTCGTCGTTGTCGTCGTTGTCGCCGTCGTCGTCCTCTCTCCTCCCTCAACGTCGTCGTGGTGTTCGTTGACGTCGTCGTTGTCGTCGTCGTCGAAGTCGTCGTCGTCGGCGTTGTCGTCGTCGTCGTCGGTGTCGGCGTCGGCGTCGTCGTCGTCGTTATTGTCGTCGTCGTCGAAATCGTCGGAGTCGTCGTCGGTGTCGTAGTCGTCGGCGTCGTCGTCGTCGTTGTCGCTGTCGTCGTCGTCGTCGGTGTCGTTGCCAAGTGCCATTTGGTACCTACCGTCACAGTCTTAAGAGGTATTGCGACCAAGCTGCGGGTGGGAGGGTGTGATGTTTGCACGAGCAGTGGAGGGGACAGCTTCAAGACAGTCAAAGTGAATTGCACACCATAGGTTGCACAACACGCAGTGCACAACACTGTTTGCGCAAGATAGGTTGCGCCACACATATATTCCACATTTATGGCAGAACTTATACCAGAGACACATTATTTCGGGCCCACGCTGGCTGACATATGCGGATATGTTTATATTCAGATGTTATGCATTGTGTTATTAGCAGCTTCAGTTTCGAGACCCGAAGTTGGTGACCTTCGCGTCTCCCCCAATCCCAATCGTATACGATTGATACACGAGTTGCCGAGCGAAGTCTAATGGTTGTGCCTAAGTGAACAAAGAGATAGATGAAAAACAGCCAGACTAAAGTAGGAATCAGCCCAAGCAGGTCGTCAATCACTGATTTACCCTGTCCGAGCTTAGTTTCGTTGTGGTTCCCCTCCGTGTTCTCCCAAGTTTACCGGCTTGGTGCCTTTGGGTCTTGGATGCGTATTGGACCGACTCGGGGCTTTCTTGGGACCATGGTGAACGCCAGCAATCGAACAGGAGCAGGCCAACTAGTACCTCGCTTTGTGCCCGAAGCTGTTCCTCTTGGGTCCCTCTTGGTAATATGCCTTCGAGGGGTTCTAGGGCCATCATGTGGCCCGTCTTGCCCCTTTGAAGGGTCATCTCGATGCCTCAAGTCCGATGGGGATCCGAAAAGGCGGGGATCCGCGCCTTGCGGGAACATCCTTATGTCAGGCAGGCTCAGAAGGGGGCCACCTCAACCCGCCAGAGCCTTCCGGGAGGCCTCCGTGAAGCATATTTTGAGGTCATTTGGGCCATCTTGCATCATCGTGGAGGCGATCGTGGGTTACTTAGGGCCACTTCGCTCACACCCGCCCTCCCACGGCAGAGGTAGCAATAGGGACTCAACATACAGTCGAGGCTGATTAGTAGGTCGACCCTGCCAAATCAAGGGTATCCTTGTGTCCTGTGTTTCGCGACCCATGCCTTTGCATTCCTGTGGCAATGTGGCCCTCGGAAGGGTCTTGTGTCCTCTCGCGTGTCCTCTATCATCGTGGAGGCGATCATGGGTTACCTAGGGCCACCTCGCTCACGCCCGCCCTCCCACCGCAGAGGCAGCACCAGGGACTCCACATGCAGTCGAGGCTGATGAGTAGGTCGACCCTGCCAAGTCAAGGGTACCCTCGTGTCCTGAGCTTCGCGACCCGGGCCTTCTTACGTTTCTATGGCAGTGTGGCCCCCGGAAGGGGCTTGTGTCCTCTCGCGTGGCCTCTCCGATCAATCCTGGCTGCAAGCAGAGGTAGGCATCGACAGGACAGCCGCCGCGAGCCGTCGCGGACGACGGGTGCGCCACGCTCGCGATCTCGTCGCCGCGCGTGCCGGTGCGCTGCGCTGGCCCTCGTTGTGCGCTGGGTGGCGCAGGGTTCCCAGCGTGCCAGGCCTTGGCATCGCTCGGACGTGTGCATTTTTCCTTCCGCGAGGGCCACCGAGGAGCATCCTTGATCATTTCGCGAACAAAAACCACACACGAAACCGAACAAAAGCACAGGACATGGACGTCCGAGCGATGGCCAGAGGCGCGCTATGGTGGTGCGCCAGAGGCGTCACGCGCGCCCACAGTCCGAGGCGGGGATTTTAATCCAGATCCACCGCCTGGAGCATCGATCGTCGCGGACCTCCACAGGAGGCGGTGGATGTGGGCACATTCCAGGCCCAGGGGGGCCAACAAAATATGTATATATATATATGTATGTATGTATGTATGTATGTATGTATGTATGTATGTATGTATGTATGTATATATATATATATATATCCACATCCATCGCCCGCTGGGGCACCAGGACGTCGGTTCCCAGGCGGTGGGCACGGATCAATCCCCGCGGCTCAAGTTGTGCCACGTGCTCCGGTCGCGGCAGGTGCGCCACGTGCGCGACGCGCGCAGCGTGCGCCAGGCGGCGGCCACTGTGCATGCGTCGGCGCGAACAGAGCGACACGTCGACCGCCCCTCGCTCCCCCTCCCCTGCCACCTCTTCTCCTCCTCCTCCTCCTCCTCCTCCTCCTCCTCCTCCTCCTCCTCCTCCTCCTCCTCCTCCCCCTCGGCCTCCTCCTCGGCCTCCTCCGGCCTCCTCCTCATCCTCCTCGTCCTACGCAGTGCGGGCCGCAGCGGTTTTTCCCGCGAAGCCTGCGCCGCTCCTCCTCTTCCTCCTCCTCCTCCTCCTCCTCCTCCTCATCCTCCTGCCAAAGCTGCAGAGCGGCGGCGAGGTAATCAGCATGGTGTACGTTGTGTACACCCTCGGTGAATGTGCATGTGTTTTTGACAGGGATCGTGGGGAAGCGAGCATCGGACGAGTCTGCTCACATTCCCGCCATCCCTGTCAAAAACACATGCAGTGTGGTCTCGGAGTGCCCGCCCATGCTTCAGAGTTTGCCACCCCGTGCATGTTTTGCAGATTTGTTGACAGGGATGGAGTGTGGGTTTGCGGCTGGGCGAGTGGGGGAGGGTGAGTTCGATGATAAGGAGCAGTCGTAATTTGCGGTCATGAAAAGACCAGAGGCTCCATGTTGCCTGCAACCAGATGGCCAGTTGGATTAATTCGGGAGGGGGCCCGACGGCAGTAGGCGGATGGTTCCCCGTCTTGTCCAGGAAGAGTTTGTTTGCAACTTTGGTCATCTCGCGAGTCCTAACCGACCCGCTGTGGTCAGGGCTTGGGCTGTCACGCATTCTGGTGCCACCAGTGCATCGCGCAGCTCGATGAAGAACATCCGTGCCTCCAGAGCAAGCCGCAGTGGAAGAACGCCGCGCCGGGTGCTCCGTGAGCTCAGCGTCCCGCACGGCCTCCGGAGCCCACGCTCTGACGCGGGAGCTCCAGGAGCCCACGCGGCAGACGCGTCTCCCCGCAGCTGCCTCCCCCGTCTGCCCTCCGTCGCCGCTTCCGCCTCCCCCCGACGCATCCTCTCCTGCCCTGTGCGTGCCCCTGTCCTCCTCGCCTCGCCCTTCCGTGCCACGTCTGTCCTCCGTCTTCTCCTCCGCCTGTCCTCCCTCCTCTCCCTTCTCTCCTCCGTCTGTCCTCCTTCCTTCCTCTTCCTTCCTTCCTCCGTCTGTCCTCCTTCCCCTCCCCTTTCCTCGCCGCGCCCTCGCCGCGCCTCGCCGCGGCGAGGCCATCTCGCAGGACTTCGGGCAGGCGCGGGCGTCCCGCACGGCTCGCTTTCTCTCGCTCGCGCGCCCTGCGCGCCGCGCGCCGGGGGGGCGTGCGCGCTGGGAGGGCCGAGCCCCTGCAGCCGTGCAGGAGATCGTTGTCTCCAAGTGTGTTATGTCTCCTCCTCCTCCTCCTCCTCCTCCTCATCCTCATCCTCCTCCCCCTGCTCCTCCGGCCTCCTCCTCCTCCTCCTCCTCCTGCCCCTCCTCCTCCCCCTCCTCTTCCCCCTCCCCCTGCCCCTCCTGCCCCTCCTCGTCCTCGCGGGTCGTCCATTCTTCCTAGGAACATTGCTCAGCGCGGTGCACGCTTGCCTTCTTGCTCGGGGACATCCGCAGCGCGAAGTTGCCCCTCAGAGCCTCCCAGCGGCGCCCCGCAGGCCCCCAACAAGCCTCCCAGAGAGCCCACGAGACCATCAGTGAGCCCCCAAGAGGCGCCCGAGAGCTTTCCAAGAGGCCCCACAAAAGTGCGTGTGTGCGCACGCGCGTGGGTCTCCGCTGAGGATATGCGGTGGTGGACATCGCTGAATACTGCATTGGGCTCGAGTTCCCTTCGGGCTGGGTCGGTCAAGCCGTGGCACGGTTATGTTGGCATGCCGTGCACGTTACTATGACTACTGCTATCCAGCTGCCTACGGCAAGACCCACCACCGTGCCTGGATTCTGGGTATGAAGCGTGTTGGATGTTCGTTGGGATCTCGTGGGAGGCCTTTTCGGTGGCCTTTTGGAGGCAGTTGTGAAGCCTCTTGGGGTCCCTTTTCGGCCCTCTTGGCTCTCTTTGGGGCTCCTTGGGGGCCTCTTGGGGGTCTCTTCGGGACCTCTTGGGGCCTGGGCGCTTCTTGGGGCCTCCCGAGGGCCTCTTGGGGCGGAAGGCTCGAATCTTCGGTTCGCGTTCCCTCTCTGCCCAGTGATTGTTGCCTCTTGATATGCCTCTTGGAGGCTTCTTGGGGCGCCTTGGAGGCCTCTCGGGGCCTCTTGGGGCCTCTCGGGGCCCCTGGGGCCTCCTGGGGGCCTCTTGGGGCGGAAGGCTCGGATGTTCGGTTCGTGTTCGCTTTCTCGGGCCTTCTTTGGGGTCGTCATTGGACCCTGTTGGGCCGTCTTGGGCGCCTCTTGGGCCGTTTTGGGCCGCTCTTAGGCCGTCTTGGGGGCCTCTTGGAGGCCTTTTGTGCAGTTTTTAGATGGTCTTGGGGACCTTTTGCACCGTCTTGGAGCGTCGGAAAGCTAAAAGCGCGAGAACGCCAAAATGCAGCAACCACCGAAGAACACAAAGAATGTTTGTTGCCGCCTGGGGCCCTCTTACAGCGTGTTTCTTTATTGCCTGGGCCACAACGCGCGTTGTGCCCCCCCGCCCCTCCCCCGTAACGCTCGGGCCCCCAGTGCGCCCCTCCCCCGTAACGCGCGTAGGGATCCGCATAGGAACCCAACAATGGATCCGCATAGGCATCCGCACAGAAATCGGCATAGGGAGCCGCACAGGGAGCCGTAGAGAGATATCCGTCGGGATCCGCATAGGCGTCAGCATTGTGATACCCAGGGATCCGTATAGGGATACGCGTGAGGATGCGCATAGGGATCCCCAGAGGCATCCGCATAGGCATCCGCATGGAGTTCCATATGACAATTTGCATAGGCATCCGCATGGAGATCCGCATAGGGATTCGCATAGGCATCCGCATAGGGTTCCGCATAGTGATGCTCATAGGGTTCCCCGGAAGGGTCCTCATTGAAAAGTCGCATAGAGGTTTGCATAGGGGCGGTGGTCGTGGGCAAGTTTCGGTGTTCTCAGGCACTTGTGGTGTTCGTAGGAGAGAGAGAGAGAGAGAGAGAGAGAGAGAGAAAGAGCAATAGGAGGAGAAACACGACGACGACGAGGATGGAGGAGTGAGGTAAGGAAAATACCTCTTAGACGCCACGTGGAGGCCAAGACGCCTTCGCAGGCATGTGCTCGCAACCACTCCTCATCGCTCGTCGTCGTCGTCTTCGTCGTCGTCGTTGTCGTCGTCGACGTCGACGTCGTCTTCGTCGTCGTCGTCACTCTTCGTTGTCGGTCGGTAGTCGTCGTCGTGGTCGTCGTCGTCATCGTCGTCGCTCGTCGTCGTCGTCCTCGTCGTCGTCGTCATCACCGTCGTCGTCGTTGTCGTCGGTCGGGATCGCTCGCGGTCGCTCGTCGTGGTCAAACGCCTATGAATGCTTTCGTGGGCCTCTGGAGGCCTTCGGAGGCTTCTGGAAGGCCTCTGGAGGCTTCAAGAAGCTTCTGGAGGCCTCCAGAGGCCTCGGGAAACCTCTGGAGACCTTCAGAGGCGACGCTCGTCGCCGTCCCCGTCGTCGTCATCGTGGTCGCTCGTCGTCGTCGTCGTCGCTCGTCGTCGTCGCTCGTCGTCGTCGTCGTCGTGGTCGCTTTTCATCGTCTTCGTCGTTGTCGTCGTCTTCGTCGTTGTCGTCGTCTTCGTCGTTGTCGTCGTCGTCGTCGTCGTCGTCGTTATCGTCGTCGTCGTGGTCGCTTTTCGTCGTCGTCGTGGTCGCTCGTCGTCGTCGTCGTCGTCGTCGTGGTCGCTCGTCGTCGTCGCTCGTCGTCTTCGTCGTCGTCATTGTCGTCGTCGTAGTCGCTCGTCGTCGTTGTCGTCGTCGTTGTCGTCGTCGTCGTTGCCGCCTTTCGTTGTCGTCGTCGTCGTCGTCGTGGTCGCTCGTCGTCGTCGTCGTCGTCGTCGTCGTCGTCGTCGAGGTCGCTCGTCGTCGTCGTGGTCGTCGTCGTCGTCGAGGTCGTTCGTCGTCGTCGTCGTCGTGGTCGCTCGTCGCTCGTCGCCGTCGTGCGGCGGACGCTGTGGTGTCGCCGGAACCGAACGGCGGGGGGGGGGGGCCGATACGTTATGCCCCTTCCCGGCCCTCCCCCCACAACGCCTCTTAGGAGGGCTCTTGGATGCCTCTTTGGGCGTCTCAGGGGCCTCTTTCGGGCCTTGGGCCCGCTTCGGCGCCTCTTAGGGCCTCGTGGGGGCCACTTCGGGCGGAAGGCTCGGCAGTTCTGTTTGTGTGTTGGAGCCTTTTTGCTTCCGTCTTGGGGCCGTCTTGGGCCGTTTTGGGCGCCTCTTGGGCCGCTCTTAGGCCCTCTTGGGGCCCTCTTGGAGGCCTCTTGGGCCGTTTTGGAGTGCTCCTGGGGGCCTCTTGGGCAGTCTTGGAGCGTCGGAAAGCCGAAAAGGCGAAAACGCCAGATTCCTTCAAAGACAATGCAATTCAATGATTTTTGCCTCTTGGAGACCTCTTGGGAGGCCTCTTGCAGGCCTCTTGGGGCGTCTTGGAGGCCTCTTGGGCCATCTTGAGGCCATCTTGGGCGTCTTCGAGCGATCGTCCGGCGACTTGGGGCCCTCTTCGGCCGTCTTGGGGGCCTCCTGGGCCGTCATGGGAGCCTTGGAGAGCCCCAGGAGGGCGCCATGGCCGCCCAGAGACCCCTGGTACCCTGGTAATAGGGGCGATGCAGGCAGGGAAGTGTGACCGGGAGGATGGGGGGTCGACTTCAGGACCTTGCCAGGCAGCTCTTGAAGTTCTTCCACGCCTCGACAAGCCGCAGGCACGGTGGCGGAGATGGTAAGTACGAGCTGGGCCAATCTGCCGATTGGCGTTGGGGCGCATTCCTTGCCTGGGTCAAGATCTCGAGTCCCCTTGCACCACGTGGTCTCAGGCATCGCGGGTGCTCCTCTTCCCATTCATGTTCTTCGGCCTCGTCCTCGTGGTTTTCATCTTGCTCCTGCCCCTCCGCCGTCGGCATGCTACTGGAGTGAACCCGTGGGCATCGTCTCCTCCTTCCTCTTTCCGCATCTCCTCTCTCCCCCCCCACTGTTCCGTCCTGCTCTCGGTCGGTCTGGCTTCCATTAAGCTTATCCTGGCATTCTCCAGCTTACATGCGCATTTCCCTCTTCCCGTGTGCTTCTGCGAGGTGTGTGCTGGGAGACATCGCTTCCCAGTGATGCGCACCGACCTGGCGGTGAGCTCTTCGCCCCCCCCCCCCACGAAGAAGGAGGTAAGTAAAGAACAGGAGTGGGCTCGTCCTCGTCGTTGCTGTTTCGTTGTCGTCCTCGCCGTCGCCACCGCTGCCGTCCTCGCTCGGAAGAACAAGGGGGGAGGGGGAGGTGGAGGGGGAGGAGGAGGAGGAAAAGCAATAAGACAAGGGGTGATGAGCGTGCACAGTAATTAGCCCGAGGAGACGCAGAATGAGCGGGCGGGGGGTCAGAAGCAGGAGGCCTTAGAAGATGATGGTGATGACGATGACGATGACGATGACGATGATGATGATGATGATGCTGATGCTGATAATGATGATGATGCCGATGCAGATGCATATTCAGATGCAGATGCTTATGCTGTTACTGTTGCTGAGTATGATGCTGATGATTATGCTGATGATGATGCTGATGCTGATGCTGATGTTGATGAGGATAATGATGCAACTGCTGCTGATGATGATGGTGATGATGCTGAATCTGATGATGATGCTGCTGATGTTGCTGATGATGATGATGACGATGACGATGACAACGATGATGATTATGATGCTGCTGATGATGATGATGGTGATGATAATGCTGATGATGCTGATGCTGCTGATGTTGATTACGATCATGCTGCTGCTGATGATGCTGATGATGGCGTTGATGATGCTGCTGCTGATGATGCCGACGACGATGGTGGTGGTGCTGATGCTGATGCTGATGCTGATGCTGATGATGTTGCTGCTGTTGCTCCTTCTGATGATGATGGTGATGATGCTGCTCATGTTTCTTATGATGATGAGGAGGAGGACGACGACGATGATGATGGTGATGGTGATGGTGATGACGAGGATGCTGGTGATGATGTTGCCGATGATGATGGTGGTGATGATGACGACGGCTTCTGATCTTGATGATGATGATGATGATGATGATGATGATGATGATGATGATGATGATGATGATGGTGATGAGGAGGAGCAGGAGGAGGAGGAGGAGGAGGAGGAGGAGGGGGAGGAGGAGGCGGAGGTGGAGGAGACGCAGGAGCAGGAGCAAGAGGAGGAGGAGGAGGTGGAGGAGGAGGGTGAGGAGGAGGAAGAAGGGTAAGGGGGCAAATTTGGCATGGGATGACTTGTCGGAATAGCGTCAGAGACTGAGCGAGGGAGGGAGGTGTCCTACCTCTCTCCTGCCCCTCCTTCCCCCCTCCTCTCCCCCTCAGTTCACCGCGCCTCCCCCTCCACTCTCCTGTCTCCCTGGACCCCTCACCCCTCCTTCTCCCCTTCCTCCCCCTCGGTTTCCGCCCTCGCCCTTGCCCTTCCCCCTCGCCCCTTGCTCATCACCCCTCGCGCCCCACGAGCGTGAGGTTTTGCTTTGGCATGTGTGTGTGTGTGTGCGTGTGTGTGTGTGTGTGTGTGTGTGTGTGTGTGTGTGTGTGTGTGTGTGTGTGTGTGTGTGTGTGCGTGCGTGTGCGTGTGCGTGCGTGCGTGCGTGCGTGTGTGTGTGTGTGTGTATGTGTGTGTGTGTGTGTGTGTGTGTGTGTGTGCAAGGCTGTGATCAAGCTCGGAGCACGGCTCCTTCCAGCTTGGCCTCGGCTTGACCTATCAGGAGTTGAACCAATTAAGGCCCCGAGGGAGGCCAGAATAGCTGCTCCCACGGTCGATCACGCTTGGTCTTGGTGCAGAATTTGCTTGAGGTGCGACACACGTTTGCGCTTCAGACGCCAACATAGCCGCCCCTCGCTGTCAGGGTGCTCTGGGGATTGTTGGCGCTTTTAGGGGTGAAGGAGCGAGGACATACGCTTCTCGCCTTCGATTGCTCCGACGAGAGTCCGCTGTTCGTTTGTGCCTCGTGCAAGGCCTACACTTCGTTGGGCCCTCTCAAGATCCTGGGTGATCCTTGCCTGGGGACGGCGGGAGCCACGAGGAGTAACAAGAACAGGTGGGCTCTCGTTTTGAAAGGCCGTCGCCCGAAGCTCACAGGTGTTCCGTTGGTGGCACATGTCCTTGCTTTCCAGTGGTCTTGATGGCAGGGGATTTCGGGAAGGGAAAAATGGACAGGTCAGCGCTCCTTCCCCTCTTTCTCCCCCCTCCTCCCTCGAGAGTGGCGAGGAAGGAAGGGGGGAGAGGAGGGGCAGGAGCACTGACCTGACCAGTTTTCGATTCCCAAGGATTGGCCATGTAGACAAAGACCTCCCTGCCGGTCGGCCTCCTGCCGCCCCACCCTCGCCACCCCCGGCCGCCCCCTCTCAAGCAGTGGCGCAGCGTCCCGGCTCGCCTATCGGCCCATAGACTGTTGTAAGAACCTTTCTGTGGGCTGCACGAAGTGCTCTCAGCACACTTTTGGCTCAGGCTGTCTTGTTTCCACACGTCGGGCTTATGTGTGTTCTGAGAGCGTTGTTGTGATCAGAAAACTTTTCTGGAGTTCCGAGAGCATTCCGTGGTAGGCCTGTAGGAACGCTGGGACGGTCGGTCCCTACTCAACCCTCGCCCCCCCCCCGCTGCGGGTGTCCCCGCTGGCCTCGGGCGGGGGGCCAGGACGCGATTCAGATCCGTGCCAGGGCGTTCCGGAACGCTCTCTGAGCGTTCCGGGATGCTCTGAGAAGGCCCTGACCTCCGTTCGGGGGCGGCCAGGATGGGGTGACGACTACAGTGGAAACCCATGCCAAGAAACACCCTGCTTGCCTCGAGTGTGCCCTGGGTTTCTTGGGTTTCGATGGTTTTGCTATGGAGAGCGTGTCGTTCCCACACCACATAATCAATGGATGTCCTGGGGTCTCAGGGTTGGGTTTCTTGTGGAAGGATTCTTGTGGTCGGGCCCCTACTGCAGCGGGGGGGGGGATTATCATGGTGGAGGCCATGGTATTTTCCCAGATCTCATGGCGCCTCTTATTTCAATATATGCCTGGCCCCCCCCCCCTGGGCCGCGCACGTGCCGCTGGCCATGATTCGCGGCCCCCCCCCCCCTCTTGGACGCCCCCCTCTTGGACGCCCCCACTCTTCGCTGCGGTCCGGCATGTGACTTTGGCACAGTGTGCCCTCTGGGCCGTCTTGGCCCTCTTCCAGGAGGCCATGGTGCCAGTTGCACTCGTCCTCGCGGGGGGGAACAAAAAGGGACTCTCGATTTACAGTCAAGCCGCATGATGGGCAACCTCCCCAAGGGCACCATGGCATCCTTGCCCCTTCGGCCCATGCTTAGCCACTCTTTCGCTGGCCAGCCTCGTTCGAAGACCGCTCACATGGGCCTCCAAGGCCCTTGCATCCTCGCCGCGCATCCTTCCGATACAGGCCGACTGCATCTCCTCGCCCGGACTGGACCCCGCCCTGGCTTCCTCGCGTGGCCGGCCCCAGGCCCTGCAGCGCCGCTGGTGCGGCGGCGAGGACGCGCCCGCTCGGGTGGCCGCAGGGGCGGGGGGAGGCCGGGGCCCGGCGCGGGGGCGCGGAGCTTGCCGCGCCTTCCCCGCGGGCTTCGGGGTGGGCGGCGCGAGGCCGAGGGGAGACGGCCGCGGCTCGTGCTGCGGTCTTCGGGGTCGGAGGACCGCGCTGCATCGCCGATGCATCGGCGGCGCGGCTCGATGCGGAGCCCGCTTTTCTCCGCACCGGCGTCGCCGATGCACCGCCGACGTCGACGATGCATCGCCGGTGCATCGTCGATGCGGCGCGATCCTCCGACCAGCAGCCTCAATGGTGAGTTAACTCGTTCGAGAGATTCTCGGAGCGCTCGAGAGCATGCTGGAAAGGCCTGGTACCTGCGTAATGCTGTCTCTGCACTTGCTGGCACCAATCGATTTCATCATCATTCGTGCCCGATAGGGCCGTGTCCAGTCTTGTTTGTGCGATGCGGAGAGGGGCTGGAATATGATTGAGACGAACCGCATATAGGGCAGGAAGAGGATGAATCATGGAGCATCATGGGGGAGGACACAGGAGGAGGAATCGAGCGATGATGATGATGATGATGATGATGATGATGATGATGATGATGATGATGATGATGATGATGATGATGATGATGATGATGATGATGATGATGATGATGATGATGATGATGATGATGATGATGATGGTGATGATGATGCTGATGCTGATGCTGATGATGATGATGATGATGATGATGATGGTGGTGGTGGTGGTTGTGGTGGTGATGATGGTGGTGGTGGTGATGATGATGATGGTCGTTGTGGTAAACATGATGCTGCTGATGATGCTGACTATGATGATGCTGCTGCTGATGGTGATGATGATGATGATGATGATGATGATGATGATGATGATGATGATGATCATGCTGATGATGGTGAAGAAGATGGTGATGATGCTGATGATGAGGAGGAATATGATAACGAGACGAGGGACGATGGGGACGAGGAGGAGGAGGAGATCATTTGGGAGATTTCCACTCGCATTATGGCTCCTCTTGGGATAAGCCGAAGACTTATTGAAGCGATGCTTGCATTGCAGGGCGCAGCTGGCACTCATCCTATGCTAGCTTCGTTAGGGAGGTAGCTTTCGACAGCGCGGAGGGGCAATCAGCGAACACTTGTGTGTTCGCATCTCCACTTACGCACATAACACATACCATGATTCGCATGCTGGAGTTTATCCAGTAGGCAATGAGAGTGATGTCTATCATTGGCATAGCCCGACGCCGACACGCAGACGGATCATCGTGTCCGTAAGTTCATGCAGAGGGGAAGCGAAGGATCCCAGCGGTGACAAAACATCGTTTTTTGTTGGTTGGGACGACTGCGTGTGTTAGTGTTTCGATGTTCCGAAAGTGACCTGTTGCCTTCGAATTGTGTGTCGCACTCCCCCGCGGTCTGACGCACTCTAGATTGATCCAGTCATCCATTGAGTATCGCAACTCGATGATTTCAGATTGTCAATGACATAGTCGGTCCCGCCGAAGACGTCGCGACAAACATGTCACAGTCACCGGTGGTGCAGATGATACTCTCTGTCTGCTCGCGGTGACAATGCTGCCGTACGCAGTCAGTCTTCGCAACGATGACGACGGTGACAAATGGGGACCTGACTGGCCCGAATTGGTTGCGCTGGAGAATCGCGCGGATAAGCGCAGCTCGTACAGTCAACCCGCATCGTAAGGATGGGCAACCTTCCCGAGGGCACGCTTGCATCCTTGCCCCTTTGGCCCATCCTTGGCGACTCTCACTGGCCAGCCTCGCTCGAAAAACGTCAACGTGGCCTTCCAAGGCCCTTGCATCCACGCCGCGCACCCTTCTGACACGGGCCGACTGCACGCTGCTTCATGTTTCGGAGTGTGCGGAGGATGAGCAGCAGGTGGACGAGCTCCCTCCCCTCCCGTCCCCCATCGATCCCTCGCCTTCCCTTGTCTGCCTGTCCCTGGCCCTCTCTCCTCTCCCACCCTCGCCCTCCCCTCCTCTCGCCTCCCCCTTTGTGTGCCGGCCCCTGGCTGCTCCGCCCTCCCGCCCCCCGCCCCCCCCCCCCCGCGCCGCGACCTCCGCCGAGGACCTGCTGTTCAAGGCGGACTGCACGGCCCACATCGTCGCCCTGTACCGGGCCCTCGAGTGCGCTCCGCGCCCCCCCTCGCCGCGGCGACGGCCGGCTTCGCCGACGGCCGGCTTCGCCGACTTGCTGGCTTCGCCGACGGCTGGCTTCGCCGATGGCTGATCGCCGACGGCCGGTTCCGCCGACGCCGGTTTCGCCCAGCTGGTTTCGCCGGCCCGCCCACCCGTTTCGCCGACGGCTGGTTTCGCCGACACGCCCGTCGCCGCCGTGGTCCTCTGTCGTCGTCGCCGTCGTCGTTCGCCGTCGTCGTCGTCGTCGCCAGCGTGGTTGCCGTCGTCGTGGTTTGTCGTTCGTCGTGGGTCGTCGCCGCCGTCGCTCGGGCTCCGCCCTTTCACGTGCTGGCTAGACACTCCGCCCGCTTTACTGTCCCGCCTGCCCGACCCGCCAGTTGGGGCCCCGACCGCTCCCCCCCGCCCGCAAGGGTCCCGCCCCGCCCGTTAGGGCCCCCGCCCGCTCGTGAGGGTCCCGCCCGCCCGACCCGCCCTTTCGGGTCCCGCCCGTGCGCGTGCCGCCAAGCCCTTCCGCTCGCTTCACTGTCCCGCCTGCCCGCCTGCCCGACGCGCCCGGGAGGGCCCCGCCCGTCCGATCCGCACGTTGGGGCCCCGCCCGTTCGCGTGCCAGCAAGCTTGCCCGCGTTAGTGTCCCGCCCGTGAGGGCTCGACCCGCCCGACCCGCCCTTGAGAGTCCCGACCGCTCGACCGTCCCGTTGTGGTCCCGCCCGCTCGACCGTCCCGTTATGGCCTTGCCCACCCGACCCGTCCGTTAGGGCCCCGCCCGACGACGACGACAACGAATGTCCCAGAGGAACCAGCCGTCGGCGAAACCAGCTCCAGCGAAGCCAGCCATCGGTAAGGCGGACAATTGAGGAGAAAGGGGAGGAGGAGGAGGAGGAGGAGGAGGAGGAGGAGGAGGAGGAGCAGGAGGAGCAGGAGGAGCAAGAGGAGGAGGAGGAGGAGGAGGAGGAGGAGGAGGAGGAGGAGGAGGGAGGAGGAGGAGGAGGAGGAGGAGGAGGGGGACGAGGAGGAAGAGCACCTGGAGGAGGAGTAGTAGGAGGAGGAGGACGAGGAGGAGGAGGGGACCGAAGTGATGCCCACATACATCTGGGGATCTTGGCTTGCCGCTGTGGCCGTTGCTGCCGCGGCCTCGCGCGGCCGCGGCCGATCCCTACTGCCCTGAAGCGCCGGCGAGAGGGATAGAGAGAGAGAGAGAGAGAGAGAGAGAGAGAAAGAAAGAGAGAGAGAGAGAGTGATGGGGGCGGCGGCGGGAGAGACTTGGCATCGCTCGGACGTATCGTGGAGCATTTGCGGACACCCTGCGGAGAAAAATATGCCCGCACGGAATCGAAAGATGCACAGGCAATGGACGTCCGAGCGATGGCGAGGAGACGGAGAGAGAGAGAAAGAGAGAGAGAGAGAGTGAGAGAGAGATGGAGGGAGAGAGGGAGAGAGAGAGAGAGAAAACAAACAGAAAGAGAGAGAGAGAGAGGAGGAGAGAGAGAGAGAGACAGAGAGAGAGAGAGAGACAGAGAGAGAGAGAGGGATGGCGGGCGGCGGCGGCGGCGGCGGGGGAGAGGGACAGAGGGGGAGTGAGAGGGAGAAATAAAAAGAGAGAGAGGGAGAGAGAGATAGAAACAACACACAAAGATCGGACAAGCAAACGGACGATCCGCTGGCGCCCGGCTACTGCAGTAGCCTAGGGCGCCCAGGCACACTTAGCGGTGGTGCGCACCTTGGGGAACAGGGGATGTTGAAACAACCACCCCCAAGCGCAAAGCGACTGAGGTAAAGGGACGGGGCGGTGAGCAGGCGATGCGCCACGTTTCTCTGCGCCTGGCATGGGCAAAAGGCCCATGTCGGCGAAACCCTGGTTCGCGGCCAGGGGACAAGGGCTTGTCCGCTGAGCGGCGTGCAAACGACGGAGCGTCCCCCGCCGCCGCAACCACGACCCGATGACGCGTGGCCACGCGGCCAATTGGGCTGGGGAGAAAGGGGGCCTACGGCCGAGTATGGAGCCCTATTTAATGGGCGTGCGTGGCATTGAGGGGGTCATGCACAGTTGGGACGGGTGACGCCCCGTTGGACGAAGGGGAGGGGCGGAGTTACGCGAGGTTAGTCTGATCGCTGCGCAGGAGGTGCGTGAGCTGGCCCTGCTGGGATGGTAAGGCTCGAACCTGACACCAAAGCGCGTTGTATTGGTGGCAGAGATGGTGGTACGACGCCTGATGCTCAGCGGCTCGGCCATGGGCAGGACGCGGAGCACGAGGCGCGCGAGCATCGGCGGCCCTGCTGGCGAGGTGCGCGGCGAGGTCAGCGCGGCGGTCAGTGCCTCGTGTGGGCGCTGGTTCGGGTTTTGGGGCGCTGGTTCGGGTTTTGGGGTCCCTGACGACCGGCCGAGGTGTGTTTGGCCGAAGCGACACTGCTACCCGATGGCACGGCCTCGCGGCGCTTGTTCTCACGCCTGCGGCACCTCCCCGCGGCGCGGCGCCGCCCGCCCCGCTGCCGCGGCGAGCGCGCGGGTTGGGGGCCTGCAGGAGGTTCGGGGCGACCACCCACGGGTTTCAAAGGCGCAGAGCAACCGCAGTCTTGAGTTGGGCATGTCCCTCTACAGGCAGAATATGGAACAATCATGTAAAACAAACGTGTGGGACGATGTTTGGAATATGTTTGATCATTTTGGGGTATGTGTGACTTGTTTTTACCTGTCGTCCACAATCCGTCTGTAGGGGGACATGCCCGACTTAACGGCAGTCATCCTCGGAACTGTTCCGGTCGCCCAGAGACACCGCTAGCACCCGTGATTTCCGAGAAATTATATGTTTCATTTGAGGAAAAGTAGTTATGCCGCTACCTTTCGCCAGTTGTCTCCCTTTTTGGGCCTCGTGGGAGGCTCGTCGCCACCAGTGGATTCACGTCGAAATATTAGTCAGAACGCACCCCTGGAGAGGTCTGGGGAGAAGCAGTAACGGCTGTCTTCGGTTGAACAGGGCCGAGGGTCGGAAAACGCCACCCCCTGCAAGGCCACGAAAACATGGACGCCAGGTGGTCAAACGCGTCGCCTGTTAAGCGGACGAATCTGTGCAGCATCCAACCCTTCGTTTATACCCAAAGTGTTGGCTTGACGCCAGGTGCGGAGCATGAGTTTCAGCTTGACCGAACAAGTTGGTTGCGCCCCTTGACGTCCGTTTGGGGTGTTCTGCAGACTTGGCCCCCCTGCCCTACTCGAATCTTCGGAGATATTCGTCGCCGCCCACCAAGCCACCCTGCCGCGCGCCAGGCAGAGGGGTCCAGCGCAGATCCAATAAATCCACGAGCCAAACATGACTGTTTATGCAATGTTGTTTTTTCTATGGATGGCGTGGGCTGACGGCATCAGTTCTGTCCCAAGGGTTGGCCAATTAATGTTGGGGGGGGGCTCTTTCTGAGCAAACTGATCGTCGCCGCGTTCCTGCCTCTGGGCCGGGGATGTCTTCGCGCGTCCGCGTGCCCTGTCTCTGAGCCATCTCACATATTGTCAATTGCACGGCCGAGAGCTATTGTTTATGCTGGCGAAGATCAGGCCGACATTGGCTATGGAGCAACATAGATCTACGACAAGAGGTTCGAGCCCCTGCGAATCGAATTCCAGAAAGGATTGATATAAGCACATCGGTTGAGCCCGTGCCAGGGTCCAAGGAATCCCCGCTGCCTGATCTGCGTCATGCGTGGGAGCCAATCGCTTGGCAGGATTTGAGTCGGGTGGCTGTCAGCTGGCCGAGCATGCAACCTCTCGCGCGCTCGCCATGAGTAGCACAGCAAGGGCGATCGGGGCACGCGTTGTTTTTCTTCGCCAGCTTTTCGTACCAACAGTTCTGGCACGCCCGATCGGGCCTCAGCCGCCACTCGTACGCATGCCACCGGCCACGAGCGGTGTGATGTATCTCATATGTCCAGCTGTGCGGAGAGTCGTCCCCGTGTTTTGCGGGACTAGTTGCGTGCGAATAACCATATATCTTTGACCGACGTGCAGACAGACGCCAGCCATTTGCGATAAAGATCACCTGTGGGAATGGCCCCAGTCTCCAAGGTGGTGCATGTAAAGGCGCTCCTGAGAGGCGCCAAGCTGCAAGAGGGCAGCTGATTTGCGCAAATTGGTGACTGGCGCACGTTGACAAGTGGGCCTGTGTTTGACTGTGTCAGTATGCGTGTTGGTGGGCCCATTCCGAATCCTGCTCAGTTCTGCGCAATGCTGAGAGCAAGTGTATGTAACTTGGACGGCATTGCCGATGGCAGACGACGAACGGATTCTTCGAGTCCCCAGGGTTTTAACCGACCTTTGGTAGGACACAGTGGCCGCACGGGCTGCACGAGGCGCGAACCTTCTTCTTCTTCTTCTTCTTCTTCCTCTTCTCCCTCTTCTTCTTCTTCTTCTTCTTATTCTTCTTCTTATTCTTCTTCTTCTTCCTCTTCTTCTTCTTCTTCCGCGCGCGCTCATTGGTTCCCCCGCGAAAAATCCTCGCTCCCCCAGGGCGCGAGGGAAGTCGACGGTGAGGGGACGGCGCTGGCCCGGCGCGTGGGGGGGCCTCCCCCCCCTCCCGCGGCGACCGCGCGCAGAAACCCGCTGGCGCCGGTGGACCAGCGCAGCGCGCTGCAGCTCGTCTGCAACCCCAGGCCCACCCAGGGCGGGGCCGTGCAGTGCCCCCCCCGCCCGCGTTCTGTGCCGACCTCTGGGCGCCCCGGGCTCTCTTCGGCGTGCGCGGCGCAGGAGCTCCGAGGCCCATCGTTCGTGTGCCTGGTGCCCTCGCCGTGGGTCGTTTTGTTGCTCCTCCTCCTCCTCCACGTCCATCTCCTCTCATTACTAGTACTATTACTATGACTATGACTATGACTACTACTACTACTACTACTACTACTACTACTACTACTACTACTACTACTACTAGTACTAGCACTAGTACTAGTACTAGTACTAGTACTAGTACTAGTAGTACTACTACTACTACTACTACTACTACTACTACGACTACTACTGCTACTACTACTACTACTATACTACTACTACTACTACTACTACTACTACTACCGACTACTACTATTACCACTACGACGACTACTACTACTACTACTACCACTACTACTATTACTACTACTACTACTGCTACTACTACTCCTATTACTACTATTACCATTACTAGTACCACTACGACGACTACTACTACTACTACTACTACTACTGCTACTGCTACTGCCACTACTACTACTACTACTACTACTACTACTACTACTACTACTACTACTACTACTACTACTACTACTACTACGACTATTACTATTACTACTACTACTACAACAACTACTACTACTACTACTACTACTACTACGACTACTACTACAACGACTACTACTACGACTACTACTACTACTACTACTCCCCCCCACCTATCCTTCCTCCTCCCCCTCCTATCCTTTCTCCTCCTCCTCCTCCTCCTCCTCCGGGTCCCGGGACCAGAGCCAGCATCCATTGGACAAAGCTAGGTAAACACCAGCCCCGATGCTTCAAGTCGCCGAGGTATTTGTGCTATCTTGGGCGAGCGCGGTATGTCCGTCTCGCGCCATCTTCACATCGCATGTTCATTGCAGCATGTCAGGGCAGTCATTGTTCTCCGCTTTGTTCTCTCACACCTTGCAGATCATGTAGTTGACGCATGCCGTGTAGCATCCCCCCACCACCTCGCCATTGTTTGCATGCAATTATTTGTATACCTCGATGGTGAAGGAATCTCTGCATACATATATTTTATATGCACGTTAATAGCGTTGATTCCACACAGTGTATTTAGCAGTGCAGACAGGTGAAACCTATGTGGAGCAACATAGGTGCTGCAACCTGTATGCTGCATTATTTGCGGTGCAATGCCTGTTGTGCAATATATGGTGCTCATTCTACGTGGTGCAAGGTGTGTGTGTATATATATATATATATGTATACATGTGTTGTGCAAGCTATGTTTTGCAAGCAATGTTGTGGAACCACTGTTGTGCAACCTATGCGGTGCAATCTATGTTGTGCAATCAATCACTTGCTCAACTTGAGGCTGTCCTCTCCACTGCTCGCGCAAACATCCCACCCTCCCACCCGCAACTTGGTTTGCAAAACCTCTTACGACAGACTACGACGACACCGACGACAACGACGACGACGACACCGACGACGTCTCCGACGACTTCGACGACGACAACGACGCCGACGCCGACGACGAAGACGACGACGACGACGACGCCAACGAAGGCGACGATGAGGGAGGAGGAAGGACGACGACGGCGACAACGACGACAACGACGACAACGACGAGGGAGGAGGGAGGACGGCGACGACGCGAACGACGACGAAGGAGGAAGGACGGCGACGCCGACGACGACACCGACGAGGGAGGAGGGGAGACGACGACGACAACGACGACGACGACGACAACGACGACGACGACGACAACGACGACGAGACGCCGATGACGGACGACGACGACGACGTGGGAGGAGGAGGACGGACGACCACGGCGACAACGACGACGGAAACCACCACGACGCCAAAGAGGACGACGACGACGAACACGAGAAAAGACAGAGGACGACGTAGGCGACCACGACGACGACGCGGGAGGAGGGAGGACTGCGACGACGACGACGACGACGCAAGAGCGCGCGCGCACGCTTTTGTTGAACATCCGTGTTGCGAAACCTTAGGTTTTTGTAGGTTTTTTGGACGCACGATTTTGAAATCCTTCCGAAACCGATGGGTTTTGAAGGTTTTCGGCATACGCCCGCGACGACGCGCGCGTCTGCACTTCGTCCCATTTTTTGCAGAGGATTCTCGCGACGGCACACGCGCAAGGGCGTTGGACAGATTTCGACATGCGCGCGCGCGAAGCCCGTTTGGTAGCATTTTGTGAAAATCTTGAAAAAACTATGGTTGTCTTAAGATTTCGCAAGAGCTCGCGCGGAAGCTTGTTTAGCAAATCAGTGTTGCGAAACCCTGTGTTTTTGTATGTTTTTTTGGAAACTCGATTGCGAAATCTTTCCGGCACCGAAGGTTTTTGAAGGATTTCGGCATGCGCGCGCGACGACGCGCGCGTGTGCACTTCGTCCCATTTGCTGCAAGGGATTCATGAAAAAGTGTTATGTTAGAACAACAAATGTCACCGCATAGTGTTTTTTACAAGGGAACCTCACGGGGGGGGAACCCGGCCTGGCTGGGATGGTATGATTTCATATTTAGGATGGACGGGTGGTCAGAATCATATATGATTTACATACCCGAAAGGGGAACGGATAAGTCCGGGGGGGGGGGGGTAGAGTCTATTCTTCTTTTAGAAAGGAGAATCTATGTGGCGACGATGCGGCGACGGGCCGGCGACGGCGGCAACATAACCGCCGTACCGCCCGTCAAATCCAGACGACGGGCGGCGACGAGGTTGCGGGAGGCGGCGGCGGCGGCAACATAGCCGCTAGACCGATTGTCAGGCCCAGACGACGGGCGGCGACGGGGCGGCGACAACGGCAACATAGCCGTCAGACCGATTGTCACGCCCATGTCATTGTTCCATTGGTTAGAACCCCCTCCAAGGGAAAACACGGATATGTATATGGCGATGGACAGAGAGAGAGAGAGAGAGAGATGAAGAGAGAGAAAGAGAAATAGAGAGTGATTGAGATAGAGAGAGAGAGAGAGAGAAAAAGCCATAGCGAGTGAGAGAGAGAGAGATATTGGGACACCTAAATATTCTAGACGCTTCGCGCAACCCCACCAGCACATCCAGAACAGATGCCCAGACGAGTTGCTCTGATCATTAATGCGGAGGAGCATGCAGTGGAACAATGCGTTGGGTAAGACGTCTTGCCCAAAGAGGGGAGAGGATGGAGGCGGATTCGGAGGAAAAGGCGGAGGAGGAGGAGAAGGAGGTAGGAGAGGGGGAGGAAGAGGATAGAGGAGGGAGGAGGACCAGGCGGATCAGGAGGAGGAGGAGGAGGAGGAGGAGGAGGAGGAGGGCGACAAGAAAGGCCAGACGCCTCTTGGATGCCTCTCGGAGTCTCTTCGGGCTTCGTCCAGGAGTTTCGTAGAGTCATCTTGGGGTGTCTTGGGGGTCTCTGGGCAGTCCATGGGGCCTCTTGGAGCGTCTTGGGTGTCTCTGGGGGGCCTCTTGGGGCCTGTGGGGGATCTCTTGAGAGACTCTTGGGGGCACCTGAGGGGGGGCTCTTTTAGGGCCCTTCGGGGCCGCATGTGCACCTCTCGTGGCCATCTTGGGGCACCCTCGGGAGTCACGGAGGTTATGCTGGGGCCATCTTGGAGGAGATCGGTCAAAGGAGGAGCCGTCGCACACTAGCCCCCCCCCCAGGATACCAGCATGTGGCCAACACCTGGATCACACCAAATGATGTGGTACTATTGCCGAGGCCTCTTGGGGCGTCTTGGGTGCCTCTGGGGGGCCTCTTGGGGCCCCTTGGGGCTCGTGGGAGCGTCTTGGGGGCACCTTTGGGGCCTCTTGAGGACCTCTTGGGTCCTCCTGGACACATCTTGGGTTGCCTTGGGGCACCTTTGGGAGCATCGGGAACCATATTGGGGGCAGTTGGGGGGAGATCGGTCAATTGAGGTGGACTCCTTCATTAGCACCCCCGCCAGGAGGCAAACATGTGGCAAAACCATGTGCAAACACGATGACTTTGGTATTGTTCCCGAAGCATCCTGGGGCGTCCTGGAAGCCTCTGGAGAGCCTCTTGGGGGTCTCTTGGGCGCCTCTTGGGGGGGCATCTTGGCGGCCTCTTGGGTGCCTCTTGGGGTCTCCTGGGCACCTCTTGGGGCTGCCTTGAGGCACCCTTTGGAGCCTTGAGGGCCATCTGGGACCCACCTTGATTGATCAACGGAGGGGAGCTCTCCGATGTGACCCTCCCCAGGGGGCCAACATGTGGCCAACGTCTTAGTGACGTTCATGAGTTTGGCTTCTCGCCTAGGCCAAACAAACCATCTGGCACCTCGTGCCTCCCCCCTCCAGGCCCAGGGGGGGAGGGGGGGGAGGTGGATGGGTGAACCTCTCCCCGAGAGGAATAACACACACAACACCTACAGCGGACGGAAAGCACGCACAACACAGAGCACACACCACACACAACACTCACAATCCCGGGGCCTCCTGGAGCCTCTTCTGGTATCCAAGTCGGGCCTCCTGAGGTTTCCTGGGGGGCCCTGGTACACACATCGCAAGGTGTGGCAACCCCACTTGCGCTCGAGTGCGACCTCGATCTTAGATTCTTCTGCGTTCACCTCCTGCCTCTTCCCCTTCTCTTAGGCACGCCCTGGCGGCGCCGCCCCAGCTTCCCCTTCTCCATCTCCGATCCTGCAGTCATGGTGTCTTCCTGCTTCAAACGCCCTTTTAGTTGTTTTGTATGAGTCTGGGCACACACGTGCCACTTGTATATATATATATATATGTATATAACTATACGTGTGTGTGCATATCGTTGTTTATATACACATGCATCGGCGGGTCTAGAGGAAGGGGTGATGCAACACGTATATACATGTACAATACTTACATTTGTATCCATATATTTAAAAAAGGGGGGAGAGGAGAGAAAGAGAGACAGAGAGATAGAGAGACAGAGAGAAAGAGAGAGAGAGAGAGAGAGAGCGAGAGCGCGAGAACGAGACACAATGACCGAACACGAAGTTGCGTGAGAGGGGAATGTATCGGTGCTTCCTGGAATGCTTCCAGAGCGCCAGGCCGGGGGTCCGGGGGAGGCTTCCAGAGCGCCTCTTGGGGGCGTCGGGGGGCCTCATTTGGGTCATCGTGGGGCTCTCTTGGTCTCCTGATACTCCTTCGAGCTGCCTCTTCTGGGTCATCGTGGGGCTCTCTTGGGCCTCTCCAGGCGTTCGTGTCGTACGTTGTTGCGACCGGCGACCTCGAACATGCTGCAGCCATCGACTCACGCACTGGCGTCTGAAACCTTCAAGGTGGCTCCAGGACGGGCCCTTGATACGATTTGATGGCATGTTGCAAACCTGCATTCCGAAACATGCTCTTGACGTCTCGTGAAGCCGTGCGGGGAGTCCCACGAGCTTGCAGACGAGCGCGAGACAGGCCGTGAGTTTAGGGTCTGGGGACCCTGAGCAGCTTCCAAGACGAAGCAATGACGACAAAGGACTCGAGGCCACTTCACTCGGTGGCTGCCGCAGGCTGGCGGATCTGAAGTCCCTGATGCTGTGGCCTATGAGAGCCGACGATGCGACAGCAGTGCGCTTGCAAACAGTCAACCTCACGGCAGGAAAGTGAAAACTCAAGGGTGGCGCGAATGTAGGGCCGCGTCTTTTTCGCATTCCGTTCCCCTTCCCCAGGGAGCCCGTATGCAGCATGTCCTGGCGGTCCTGGGCGAGGTAAATGTTTGTGATTGCGGCATACCATATCTGTGTCACAGGGCGCGGCATCATCAAGCAAACCAGCAGAGGCTCCTCAACAGCCTGTGATGGCGGGGCTGCGAAGGACGATCGGATGGTCCATTGGTCTACTTCTGTTTCCCGTTTTCTGTTGCTATTCCTTCACGTGCACGGCAGCGAGGTACGAGCTGTTCGCTTCGCCTTTCAACGCGCGGGTGGAGAACGGCAGGCCAGAGCGTTTGATTCATCAGCATGTTGGTGTCCCTCATGATTGCATCAAGGAACGAACATGTTTTGTGATTAGACTTTGCACAGCGCTGCCTCTTTGTGAAGATATGCGTAATTCTGCCGACAGTCCGACTGTACTGCGCCGCCTGCGTCCAATGTTTAAATCCGTTGGCATGTGTAATTCCGTTCTGCTTGGCTAGCCTCCCTGAACAGATTTCAATGTTCCTCAGCATGTCCACACTCGCAGCAATATTTGTTCGTTGTCGGTTCCATCTTCGGGAGCTGGATTCGCGAGCGCGGGTATCGCTCTGGAGCGGTATATCCGCTAGCGTTGCGCCTTGAGGCCACGGTGGCGGCTACAGCAGTACCAGCGTGCTTCCCAAAATCGGGACTTTGCTACACCAGGGTGCAAAGGCAGTTTCAAAGCAAGTGCAAGCAAGCATCTGGGCAACAGTTTGTTTTGTCAGGCAAATCCCTGTTTCACCAGAAAGGTACCGTTTGCGCGGCAAATTGCACCAGTGGGTTTCTGCGCGGCCCACGTCTTTTTCGAGCTCCGAGCCTGCAGCCCGCAGGTTCGCCTCCCGCTGGCCCCACGTCGAGGCGCACTTTGGCAGCGCGGGCTCGTGCGCCATGCCAGCGCGGGGTGGAGGAGTGGGCCTGAGGGGGCGGATGGACTCTTACTTTGGGGTTTCCTCCTCCACCTTCCCTCCGTAATCGTTTCCCCTCACCTCCCAAAGTTGAGGGAGGTTTACGAGCCCAACCGACGACGTGTCCTACGGCATCCTAAATGGCCCCCCCTGGCGAAAGCCCAGCCAGGTCATAGCGCGCACGGACCCGCGCCTCTGCGCCACTGTTGCGGCCGTAAGAGAAAGTCAAAACAGGTCCTGGGGAAGGGGGTCATAGGCTGGCGGCGCGCACAAAGGGTAGGGGGAGGGGGGAAGGCTTCTCAGAAGGCTGCTCCTTAGACGGCGCGGGCTCTGGGCCCGAGGGATGGGGGGGCAGGAGCCTAGTGGGCCTGGGGAACGGCAGGGCCGTTTCTTATTTGTTCCAGAGAAGTGTCTCGTGAACATGGAGACAGCAAAACACTTGCAACCTGAAACGGCAACAAAAACGGTTCCGGAATTGGAGCCAGAGCTGGAACCGGCAAGACAACGGCGACGGAATTGGAAAAGAACTGGCGCCGGAACCGGCAACAACAACCGCGAAGCGGAGAAGGTAACAAGACCGACCCTGTCGTTTCCAGGGCCAACTAAGGGCAGAAGGGTGAGGCGGCCTTGCACTCATTTTGCTTATGTGTTTGTTATCGCCCTTTGTGGCTGGTCGGGCACTCGTCGCCATGGGCAGGATGCCGCTCGGGCCCCTGGCTCTGGCCGGTGGGCCCAGGATTGGCTTGGTCAAGAGGATGGAGAGGGGATGCCGAGGCGGAGGAGGCTTTCTGATTGGAGTGCGCCATCAGGCCATGTATGGTGTGCGGCAGCTGAATGCTAGTACAGGATGTCATACAACGCAAGATCCTACAGGCCTCTGGCCTGGGCCTCGTAGTAAAAGGAGCCTTACTCCCCACAGTATCCACCTTGTAAGTGTTTTCCATAAGTAGTGTTTCCCCTACTTCCTTTTTTATCTGCTCCCAACCATCCTGTGGTGTTGGGTCCTCGCTTTGAAAAAAGACAGCGCCCCTCTGTCCTCCTCCGTCCTCCTTCCTCCTCTTCCTGCTGCTCCCATCCCTGTCATCCCTGCCTCTGCCCTTCGTATGTCTCTATTTTGGCTCACCCCTCACACGTTTCGTGGCCCCACTGGGAGCTCCACCGAAGGCCCCAGTGGCTGCGTTCGCATGGCACCGCCACGCCCGCTTCGGCACACCCGTCACACGTTTCGTTGAGGGAGCTTCACCGAAGGCCCCAGTGGCTGCGTTCGCATGGCATCGCCACACCCGTTTCGACACGCCCGTCACACGCTTCGTGTTTTCACAGGGAGCTCCACCAGAGGCCCCAGTGGCTGCACTCGCCCCCATGGCAAAGCCGCACCCGTTTCGGCCTTCGGACGGGCACCACCGCAAAGGATATGTACAACAGCGCTACTCACAACTGCATATTGTTGGGTTCTTCGCTGGGATTGTTCATTTTGTGTGGCTCTCTCTCTTTGTCTCTCTCGCTCTGTTGTTCTCTCGCTCTCTTTCGCTCTTTCTCCGATCTAGTGTTATCTTTGCATTCAAATTGTGTACACGAGTTGTTCATCCCATACATGTATATTTATGCATACAAACATACACACGCATACATACATCCATACATACATCCATACATACATCCATACATACATACAGGCACACATGCATACATGCATACATGCATACATTCATACACTTACACACATCCATCAATACATCCATCCATCCATATGTATATACATGCATACAGACACACACATACATATATATATATACATGGATTCAAACATGTATTTACATACATGCATACGTACATACACACATACATTCATACACACATACATACAAACACTCATCCACACATACATGCATACATACATCCATACAACCACACATACATACATTACACACGCACATACATACGTACAGGCGCGCATACATATATACACACGTGCATACACACATACGTACATACATACATACAGGCATACATAACATACAACCATACATACATACATACATACATACATACATACACACATACATACATACATACATACATACATACATACATACATACATGCATACATACATACATACATACATACACACATACATACATACATACATACATACATACATACACAAATACAACACACACGCATACACACATTCACACGTACATACATTCATATACACATACATGCATATATGCACATGCATACATGTTTGCAGTCGTGCATACACACATGCCTCTATGCACACATACATACGTTCATACATACATACATACGTACGTACGTACATACACACATACATACATACACACACCATCCACACGTACATACGTACATGCGAACATACATGCATACACATGTATATACACGTATACATATTTAGGTAACTACACATCCACGGCGCACGTATTTGTTTCTCGGCCACGCGTAATGCTCGCGCTGCTCGTCGCCGACGGCGCGGCTATGGATGCAGGGCATGCACTGTCCCACGGGGGCAGAGGTGGAACGACACACACACACACACATACACACAGACATACAGACATATATACATACATAGATAGAGAGAGAGGGACATACTAAAGACAGACATAAAGAAAAAAACAGCGCGCTGTCATCGGATCCAGGGATCTGGCCCTGAAGAGGGCGGCGCGGAGGGACCTCGGCCGAGAGAGGAATAAAGAGAAAGAGAGAGAGAGAGAGAGAAAAAAGCGAGGAAGAGAGAGAGAGAGAGAGGGAGGACAGAGAGGGGGAGAGAGAGAGAGAGAGAGACACCTATTGGGCCGTCGCGGAGCGTCGGCAAGCCGAGATGGCGAGAGCACTACAATCTTTCAAACACAATTTAAATAGCTGATGTTGAACTCTTGGGGCCCTTTTCGGAGTGCTGTTGGAGGCCTCGTGGAGCGTCTTGGATGTGTCTTGGGCCATCTGGAGGCTATTGTGGCGTATGGGACGGATCCTTCGGCGACTCGCGGCCCTCTTGGACCGTCCTGGAGGTCTCTAGAGGCACTCTTTGTCCGTCTTGGGTTTCTTAGGGCCCAGGGATCCCCCCTGGGGGGCAATGGCATTCTGACCCGGGACCCCCCTCCCGACCCCCCCCCCGGGACCCCTTTTGGGACCCCTCCCCAGCGGGTAAGGGATCAAAGAGAAGGGGTGTCCTCTCGACTCAACTGCGACGTTACTCAATTTTGCTTTGGCTGGCGCGTCTGAGGAGGGCTCGGGGAAAGAGGGGAAGGGGCGACAGCGACGGCGACGACGACGACGACTACGACGGCGACGGCGACGGCGACGACGTCGACGACGAGGGGGAGTAGAGACGGCGACGACGACGTCGACGACGATGACGTACGGAAGAGCATCTTCCACACGTCGACAGGGTCGGCCGATTATTTTTAATGTTGTTGCTGCTGCTGATGAGGATGAGGATGAGGATGATGACGAAGAGGATGAGGATGAGGATGGTGATGATGGTGATGGTGATGGTGATGGTGATGGTGATGGTGATGGTGATGATGATGCTGCTGATGATGATGATGATGCTGATGCTGATGCTGATGATGCTGATGATGATGATGATGGTGATGATGATGATGAGGAAGATGATGATGATGATGATGATGATGATGATGATGATGATGATGATGATGATGATGATGATGATGATGATGATGATGATGATGGTGATGGTGATGGTGGTGGTGGTGGTGATGATGATTAGGATGATGATGATGATGATGATGATGATGATGATGATGATGATGATGATGATGATGATGATGATGATGATGATGATGATGATGATGATGATGATGATGGTGCTGCTTTGGCCTCCAGTTGCAGTCTTGGGGGTCCTTTGGGGCCCTCTTGGGCCGTCTTTGGGCCCTCTTACGCGGGCTTGGAACTCTCTTGGGCCGTCTTGGGACCCTTTTGGCCGTATGGCGGGTGTCTGGGGGCCGTCGTTGGGCCGTCTTGGCCCCGTCGAAGGGCCGTCCAAGGGCCTTGTAAGGCCGTCTTGAGTCCCACGGGAGGCCGTCTTGGGCCGTTTTGGATGCCTCTTGGGCAATCGTGGAGTCCTCTTGGGCCGGCTTGAGCTGACGGCAGCCCGAAATTTCGAGAAAACCCGAGAAGGCTTCTTCTGACCTTGTTGGAGGTCCTCTTGTGGCTATTTTGGGCCCTCTTGGAGGCATCTTTGCCCGTCTTGAATCAATATTCGACCACCGTGGGGCCGTCTTCGAGGCATCTTGGGCCATCTTGGTGGCCTTGGTTGCGTGCACCGGCCGTCTTGTAAGCTCGGGGCGCGTACCCGTTGTTTTTAGTTGGGAAGCGTGGGTTGGGAGACCCTGGAGCGCTTGGGAGCAGCGCCTGGGAATGCGGCAAGTGCACCATCCTCGAGCGTGTGCGCGCGGGATGATGGGTCTACGTAGGAGTTAGCAGCCATGCGGGAAGTGCACCATCCTCGAGCGGGCACTCATGGATTGAGGGTTCCGGCATTAGCTGCCTTGCGGGAAGTGCACCATCCTCGAGCGGGTGCGCGTGGAAGGGGGGTTCAGGCATGAGCTGCCTTGCGGGAAGTGCACCATCCTCCAGCGGGCACGCGTGGAATGGGAGATTTGGCACTAGCTGCCAGGGTGGACAGGCACCATCCCCGAGCAGGCCCGATGGAAGTGGCCTCGAAAAGGAGGGGCGATGCATGCAGCAGTCTGCGTCGAGAGCGGGGGGTCCCCTTCCCAGAAGTCAGAACACCCTACCAGGCAGCCCTTAGCACTTGTTGCTGATCGAGCCTCGAGCGACATGGACAACCAGGCTACGCGCTTCGCCCCCTGGCCAAACTGCCTACCGTGCAGCATCGAAGGAGCAGCGCCGACGGCCAGGCAGCCCCACCAGACTGCCCTTGGCATCCTTCCGCGCCTCAACGTGCCAGGAGGCGCGGTGGCGCAGA